TTTCTTTCTTTCTTTCTTTCTTTCTTTCTTTCTTTCTTTCTTTCTTTCTTTCTTTCTTTCTTTCTTTCTTTCTTTCTTTCTTTCTCTCTTTTTTTTAAATACAATTGACATATAACATTATGTTAGTTGTAAGTGCCTAACATAAGCTTTCAATATTTGTATATATTGCAAAGTGATCATCACAATAAGGCTGGTTAACGTTCAGCATTGTTGCAATTTTTTTTCTTGTGATGAGAGGTTTTTATGATCTACACTGTTAGCAACTCTCAAATATGCAATACCATCCTGTTAATTGTGGTTATACCTTCATTCTCAAGAATTACTTACTTTATGCCTAAAATTATGTATCTTTTGACCCTCACAGTTTTCCTAGTCCCTATACCCTTGTCTAGTCTCTGGCAACCACCAATCTGTTCATTGTATCTATGAACTCATTTTTGTTGTGGTTTGATTTTGGTTTTAGGTTCTACATAAATGATATATATATATTTGTGTGCATGTGTGTATATATGTGTGTGTGTGTGTATGTGTGTATATATATATATGTCTATGCATTGATATCTATCAATATTTATATCTTTCTTCGACTTATTTCACTTTGCATAATGCCCTAAAGCCTATCCATGTCACAAATAGCAGGGTTTCCTTTTTTTTTATGAATGAATTATATCCCAATTTGTAGATATAGTATATTTCCTCATCTATTCCTCTATCCACGGACACTTGTTCTATCTTGGCTGTTATAAATACAACACTACAGTGAACATGATGTGCAGTTATCTTTTTGAGTGAGTGTTTCATATAGTGTATCTTTTAACCTGCCACATGTGTTCTTTGTAAAAGTACCATTGTACATCTTTAACATAGGTATGTTTGTAAACTGTGAAGTGTTGACGAATGTGAGAATCACCAATATTATCACTGTAATTATGGCCCAGTTATTCATGGAACTCAGGCTAACAGTGCACCAATCTCGGCCTTGCGTCACTCTGTCACCTAATCCTCACCACAACTCTTTGAAAGTGAGATAAAATGGGTTAAAGCACACATTATGAAGCTCTCTGAAGCCACTGTGGTCACGAGTTCAATCCCCAGCCAGGGAGCTGACCCACATGGTGCAGCAGACCTCTCCTGACCTGCCCGCTGCTCCCCTCAGCAGTGTACTTTGTCAGTCTGCCTGTTCTGCTCCCCATTCTGTCTCTGGTGTATCCTTTTACTGCCCCTGCACCCCTGGCATATACCCCAGTCCTATAAGCATAAATAAATAAATCTTAAAAAAATAAAAACTCAGAAAGGTAACACAACTGATGAAACCTGGCAGCTTCACAAAAGGGGTGGGGTGCTCAGCTCTCTCATTTTCTGCCTCACTGTCCCAAGCAAGGGAACAGACAGACCAGACTTTGATAATTCATTGTTGCTTCTTCACTGTCAGGTAACTTATTCCTGGAATTCCAAGAAGAGTTGGAACGAGTCTATAAGGTGTACTGTGCCACCTACAGCCAGGCCTTGCTGCTAGTGGAGACCTACCGGAAGGAGCCAGAGCTGCAGCAGGAGATCCAGGCTGTCATTGAGGCTGTGGTGTGAGTAGAATGACCAGTGAGCAGCACCGCCTGCTACTGCTGACCCAGTGGTCAGGAGCTGTTATGTTCTCACCCTGACATGGTACCGCCACTCTACTTCAGGACTGTCTCAGTTAGGATGATCCAAGTTATGCTACAGAGACAAATAGCTCCCTAGTCTCGGTGGCTTCAACTGACAGCCGTTCCTAGTTTCCTCATTGTGGGTCGACTTGAGGTCCATCGTTCTCACTGTGAGACCCAAACTTACAGTAGCCACCACCCCACCCAGAATAATGCCAACAACTGTGGCCAAGGGAAAAAAGAGCTCTAGAGGGTTAAGTGCTGGTAAATAAATGTTCCACTTCAGAAGTGATACCCGTCGTTTCTCATAATTTATTGATGAGAGTCGATCAGATGGCTTCCTCTAAGAGGCCAGGGCATGCAATCCTGGCATGAAATCCTGCCACGTGTGCTAGATGAAAATGTAGAAACCATGGAGAACTGCTCTCGTGTTTATGCAGGAAGGGCAGGGACATGTGAAGCCTGGTCTGTAGTATCGAGAGGCCTGTGTACACATGTGGAAGTCCTGCTGGTGGAAAAGAAACAGAACTGTCTCAGGTGACCCCTCCCAATCCAGAGCTGGCACTGGTGGGTGGAAGCTGCAGAGAGATATGTAGAGCACAGAACTTTTTAATTAAAAAATTTGAACAGATAGTTCATGGTTCAAAACCATAAAAATGTCCAAGTTTATAAAGTAAAAGAATTTCCCCAATCCTGTCCCTTGACCCAGTTATTACCTCCATCCTAAAGTTAAGGGGAGTACTTTTAAAATTCTCATGTATCTTTGTAGATTTCTTTCATACATAGATAAGAAAATCATAGATATAGTATATATATAATTATGCAGTTTTATACTCTTACTGCCTTTTTCATGAACTTTTTTTTTTTCCACTTCAGTATATCTTGGAGGTCTTTCCACCTCAAAACATATATGTTCTTCCACTGTGTGGCTGTTACACAGCTTACTAACAGGCCTTTGGTTTGTGTCTATTCTATTGATATTACAGACAGTGCTACTGTGAATATTCATGAATATATATATATTATTTTATTCAGCCACAAGTAAATCTGAAAGGTAAATTTTCATATGGGAAATTGCTAAAAGAAATACATCTATATTGATAGTTTGATAAATATTGCAAAATTTCTCTCCCTAAAGACTAAGCCAGTTTACATTCCCATTAGTGCCATTTGAAGATATTTGTTTCCTCCCAGCCTTACCAGCAAGATGTGGTATTAAATGAGAATATTTGCCTGTGAGCTACGTGAAAAGTGCTGTCTAAATATAGTTGTATTTTGCTTTTATCTTCTCATGATGAAAATTGATCTTCTTCCTACATTTTTGAGAGTTATTTCTATTTCCTTTTCTGTGAATTGCTCTGCTTCCTTTCTGTTTTAAAAAGGGGTATGTCGGGCCCTCCCTGGTGGCACAGCGGGTTAAAGCACAGCACTGAGAATCTAAGGCCGCTTCTGCATGAGTTCGATCCCCGCCTGCCCCCTCCGGGGGCACATGGCGCGGCAGACCTCTCCTGGCCTGCCCGCTGCTCCCCTCAGCAGTGTACTTCATCGATCTGCCTGTTCTGTTCCCCACTCTGTCTCTGGTGAAGCCTCTCACCACCCCTGAGCCTCTGGCCTGTACCAGTTCTGTATGCACAAATAAATAAATCTTAAAAAAAAAAAAAAAAAGGGCTATGTCTTCCCCAGGATGTGTTTACCAATGAAGGTTATTTTCTGAACATCAGAGTAATATATGAGGAGCAGAAGTTATTTTTATTACTATTATTATTAGTTATTACTATTGTATTGTCTTAGTCAGACTTGCCCTACATTTCCACCTCCCTTAGCTAATGCTTACCCATCCTCCCTGAAGTCTCCTTTTCAAGTACCCATGCTACAATATGATGTCATTTTTAGTATTAGTGTGGGGTCCTCGGGTTCACTCTGGAAAGGTTTCACCAGAGCTCCCCTTTCAGTGGCACACGGCGAGATTCTTCAGGTAAGTTTCTCCACAAGACAGAGATGTTAGTTGTATTTAAAGAGCAGGTTTATTAGGGAAAAGGACAGAGGAGTACAGAACACTTGCATAGGCACAAGCAGGCAGCAAGAGCTGCCCCAAATGGACAGATCTGCTGAGAGAGGCCTGCATGGTTGCAGGAGGCCTTAGAGAGCGGCCTTTGCTGAGGGAGGTCAGTGCAGAGAAGCCCCGGCCTGGTAAAGATCACGGGCAAGCAAGAGGCTGCGGTGGAGGCAGAGAGCTGGTGGAAAGAAGCACCTGCATAGTCACAGCTGGGCAGAGGACTGCAGCCCTTTTCGGATAACTATGTGGAATCCTAAAGGGACCGGAGATTTCGCAATGGGGCCCATCTCTGGGTCTTTCACCCCAGGTCTGTGTTTTGAACATTGCCGACAGCTGTCTGATACAGCAGTCTAATACAGGAATCCGATACCTGCGTGGGCCTTATGCCTTGTGATAAGGGTCTTGATTTCTATGACTGGGTTCATGGTCATGTGAGTCCCTGCTGCCCCCACCTCCTTGCATGAGTCAGGTTTTAGTCATGTGATGTCTCCTTCAGGTTTCTACTCTTTTCCTCCATCACAACCTACACTCATTTTCCTCTTTGATTCGACCTTCATGAGTCCTACAAACTTAGGCTTTTGCAAAGATCACTAAATACATTTCTCTGGAGTGAGGTAGATAATTGACATGAGGGTAACAAGGTGCCATATATGGGACACAGAGGAGCAGTGGAGACTCTGGTTTACTGGAGCCAGTGGACACTGTGCAGTTCACGGCTGCAGTCCAGTCTCAGCTACGTTGTTATTTCGGGTAATTTTTGCTATATAGCAAACTATAGACATATTAGCTTAAAGTGAAAATGTCTTTAGTTTTATACTTCTGAAGTTGAGCTGGATTCAGTAAATGATTCTCATAATCCTGGCTGAATACATTCACATGTTTGCAGGCAACTCAGTCAGGTTTGCTGATCTTGGCTGGACTCTTCTGTGTATTTACACCATACCAGCGGACTCTCTCTTGCTGCTCAGCCTCATGGTCCTGTGGGCTAGCCCAGGCTTGTTCTCAGGGCTATTGCAGGCTGAGAGAGAGAGAGAGAGAGAAAAGTGAACAAAGGGAGCGAGGCCTTCGGAAGTATCAGCTGGAGTTGGCATGCCGTCACTCAGTCTACCTTTGATGCTTATCCAGACTCAAGGGGTGGAGAACTGGTTTCCAGTTATTGGTGGAAGGAGCCTCAAAATCATATTCAAAGGGTATAGGTAGAGAAGAATCATTGCAGTCATTTTTGTGAACTCCCAACGTCAGTTACCTTATAGGAATGTGAATATCCTGTGGCCAGATCCTCTGATTTTTTTTGGGAGAAACCAGAAGCTATGACGTAACGTCTCCCAAGTGTTAGGGAGTTACAGGCTCAGGCTTTGAGAAATGCTGCGTGTTGGGGGCTGGGCTGGCTGTGGGCTGGCGGAGGCTGCTGTTACTCACACCCCCTGCACGCTGATTTTCCTAGCCAGGACAGGCCAGACCCTTCCCATGGGCGCAGGTGCCAGGCTGCAGGGTAGAGGCTGGTTGTGCCCCTCTCTCACCTTGGCAGAGCCTTCTCACATCTCAGAATCTAGTTTCCTTAGGTGGAAAGTGGGCGTAATAGCAGCACCTCATGGGAGCACAGACTTACTGCACACAGGTGACACTCAATAAATCCCAGCTATTAGAATGTTCTTGGCTATATTTCTCTGAGACGACACTGTGGCTCAACTGCTATGTGTCCCAGTGTCCCCATTTTTCATAACATTAAATAAATTTATTACCCTGAGATATATTCTGGAAAATATTATGTATATCTCCTACTGAAAACACATAAAATGAGTTTTAATATAGGGATGTGCATTTCAGAGGGCAAATGCTTGGGCACTACCACAAAATAGAACAAAGCATTCAGATGCTTGCATCTACTTATCATAAATAAGTTTAGAATTAAGGAAAGAAAAACGAGAAGCCATTTTGCATATGAAATACAGGAAAATGAAATAGCAGAGAATGTGTATACCCTAGATTTGAAGCTAGCACTGGTAACACACAGGACTTCCGGTATGTGATCAGAGATAGAAAGGAATGACAGAGCGGAAGCTGAGAGCACAGGACAGGCTGGAGAGGCCAAGTGGTAGAGTCTTGCACGTCTTATTTATGAAAGGTAGTGACGTCATCCTCCCAGTGTTACAATGTGACTGGATGGAGTTAAAGTAGAAACTTCCCAGTTCTTTAAATCAGCCCATCTTGAGGCATTCATTCCATGTCTGTATGTTCAGAGGGACACATGGGACACAGAACTGTCCTCCATAGATTAGGACTGTCCTTGCAGGATGTCCTGTGTCCCCAGCCCCTACCCGTTACATACCTGTAGTACCCCATAACCCACCAGGCTCCCAGAGCCCTCAGTAAGAACCCTGGTGTGCCTTTCCCCAGGAATGTCTTGCTCTCTGATCGCTTGGTTTTTGGTCTCCCTCATGGCGTGTTTTCTTACTCTAGTCAGCATGGAACACTTGCTAGGATCACCATGCTAGCTGTGAGTGGTTCTTTCTCAATCTGACGGGAGAGATGGTGCCATCTAATTAGTCTTTGTGATTCCAAAATGCATCTGCCTTCCACCCTAATTTGAGGAGTAGCATGAGTTGGTGCTGTTTTCTCCAGTTTCTGAAGAGAGCACTACCCATCTGAAAGCCAATGGGATCAGAGACTTGCCCTTGCCATGGGTAGGGCCTCCGCCTTAGGTAGGATCCTCTTAGTGGCATCCCTGGTGGGGGGCTGCTGGCAGAGGCGATTGGTCTAGTGCAAAGTACCAAGGTCCTGAGTGATGGCTGAGGCAGTGTTTAAAGAAGGCAATTCATCTCTGCTTTTCTTTGTTAGCCACTTCTGTTTGTTTTAAATATAAGAGTAATATATTTAAGAGTAACATGTTTCGGCATGCTTATTGAAAAGAAGAAAATTCAAACAATGCCAAAGTATATTTAGGAAAAGTCAATTTTTCCTTGGTCTCTGGCTTCCCCATCCCTCTCCCTAGTAGTTAACATTTCCCATCCAAATTTTCTTCCTTATGTTTTACACACAAGCAGATAGGAAATAGACTTTTCATGGGTATGCATAGAGGGTGTGGTTGGATGGAGGGGTAACTGGAGGGGTGAATAGAGGGGTGGATGGATAGGAGTGGATTGTGGCTGGGTTTATGGGTAGGATATATGGGTGGGAAGATGGGTGAATGGGGATAGACAGAATTTTTTTAAAAAGATTTATTTATTTATGCATACAGTACTGGGGTACAGGCCAGAGGCTCAAGGGTGGCGAGAGGTTTCACCAGAGACAAAGTGGGGAGCAGAACAGGCAGATCGACGAAGTACACTGCTGAGGGGAGCAGCGGGCGGGTCAGGAGAGGTCTGCCACGCCATGTGGTCACCTCCGGGGCAGGCGGGGATCGAACTCATGCGGAAGTGGCTTTAGCTTCTCAGTGCTGTGCTTTAACTCACTGCTCCACAAGGGAGGGCCCCCGATAGAATTTTTAAGAGGTTCCTACCACACATACTGTTCTAGAGTTTGCCTTTTGTATTTAATCATACTTCACATCAGTGTTTGAGTACTTGTGGGATCAGAGACTTGCCCTTGCCATGGGTAGGGTCTCCGCCTTGAGTATTTCTACCAAGTTCGTTGTAGTGGCTTTAATAGAGTTCCTTGCTAAGACAACTCACAGGCTATGAGTGTTTACCCATTGATGGAGATTTAGCTTGTTTCTAATTTTTTACTCTTATAACAGAGTTGATGAGTAACTTCTGCCTTTGTCATTGCTCACTTGAGCTGCTGACTCTGGGCAGGTTTCATCTAGCACGGATGAAACACAGGGCTTGTATATTTCACAGTTTTCCATACTACTCTGAAAAGATCTCACTGGTTGATGTTCCCAGCAAAGATTGAAGAGGGTCTGAATATCAATTTTTGTTGCCTGTATGAAAGGCTGCATAAAAAGTGAACTTAAGAGACTATCATAATCCTTTTTGAATAAAAATACATTGAGGTAACTGGTTTATAACATTATATAGCTTCAGGTATGTAGCTTTATAATTTGTCATCTGTCTGTGGTACATTATGATTCTTATAAAAATATCATTTCTATCCACTATCATACAGTTTATCCCACATACTACTACCCATTCCACTCCCTCTCTAGTAAAAACTGTTGTCAAAAACTAAGGGTTTGGCTTTTTTTTTTAATTTAAAGATTTATTTTTATGCATACAGAACTGGGGTACAGACCAGAGATGCGAGGGGTGAGAGGATTCACTAGAGACAGAATGAGGTGCAGAATAGGCAGATGTAGTAAAATACACTGCTGAGGGGAGCAGCGGGTGGGTCAGGAGAGGTCTGCTGTGCCATGTGAGTCACCTCCCTGTCTGGGGATCGAACTTGTGCTGCAGTGACTATGGATATCTTCATAGTGCTGTGCTTTAACCTGTTGCGCCACCAGGGAGGGCCCAATAACTAAGGATTTGTTTTTGTTTTGTTTTCCCTTTGCTTTGTTTCTTTATCTTCCACATAGGAGTGAAATCACTCCTATTTGTCTTCCTTGAAACCACTGTCATTCTGAGGGACTCCTTGGTGACTGTGGAGCAGAGAGGCACCATCTCTTTACAGATACCCTGCCCTCTGGTTTGTGAAGTGACAGTTGTCCCCATGGAAAAGTAAGCCCAGAGGACAGAGTGACAAATTTGTGGCCATTGTTTCTACCTCTCCGGCCACATACTAGGAAGTCCTTGGTGAGAGCAGATGGCCAGCGTGGGCGTGTCCCACAGGCCTCTTGCCCCATGCCCCGCAGGTAACCGTTACACAGCTCCCTCTTGCTCGGCCTGTTCCCCACCACATGGCCCATCTTTCCTGGACTTTAGGTCTAGAGATTTCTCCTTAGGAAGCAGAGCAAGAGGCCAGAGTGCCAGAGAGAGGGGTTGGTGAGCAGCATGTGGGGTGTTTTGTGGGGCTTCTGGGATATTGAGGTTTGAAACCCTCGGGGTTTCTCCAAAGGTGGGTCTGAGAAATACAGGTTGAGATCCAGGAAAGACCTCGGAGGCCTTCCCAGGTGCTGCTGACATCATCTAGAAGGGGCTAGCGACAGGCATCCCTAGTCAGCTGGTGACCCTGGAAGGGGCTCAGCTGTACTAGTTCACGTGTTTCCCTTTATGGTTCACTGAAACAAAAAATTTCAAACTATGGAAAAATACAATAATGCGATGGATGCTCTCATACCCCCCACCTGAAATGAATTACTGTTCATGTTTCACTGCTTGCTTTATCTATTTTTATGCTAAACTATTTGAAGGGAATGACAGGATTTTCCCCCTTAACTCCTTTAAATACACTCTAGACATTAAGTTCCTGTGATTTTAGAAGCAGTTTCTTTCCTAAGGGGACAGAATCATTTTTTGATGTGGAATATAATTGGATGCCCTGGCTGTGGAGCTGTGCTTGGCCAGCTGAGTGGAGATGGAGAGAGGCAGTTGAGGCTGCAGCTCAGACAGAAATGGGGAGTGGACATCTGGGTTTGGGGTGGCACCCAGCATTTCGGCACTGGAAGGAGGCCCGCAGAGGCCTGTGGATTATGAGAAGTAGGAAGAAGGGCGTCTCTGGGGTCAGAAGCAGAAAGTGTTTTGAGAAAGAGAGAGTGGTCAGTTTTGTCTGTTGCAGGAGACCAAGCAAGCCAAAGGCAGAGAACGACTGTTGGCTTGGTACGGAGGGGCAACTCAGGCCCTGAAGGGGTTAGAGTAGGAACTGTCACTGCCCGTCTAACCTCTAGACTGCACAAGTGACAGATGAAGAAACTGAGGGCCGCAGAAGGAGGGTCATATGCCTGAGATCACAGTGAGTTCAGTAGCAGAGCTGACACCAGAGCCCAGGCCCCCTGGCCCCAGAGGGTGGGCTCTATCTGCCTAACACCAGCCTTCTCCCTCAGGCCACAAGCGGGACCCTCAGGCCTCAGTTTCTTACTGGTAATCCCGCTGCAGAGGATTACCAAGTACCCATTACTGCTGCAGAAAATCCTGAAGAACACACTCCCCGATGCCAGTGCCCACCCTGTCCTTCAGAGGGCTACCTCTGCCCTCCAGGACGTGAACGCCAACATCAATGAATACAAGATGCGCAAGGAAGTGGGTAAGGACTTGGGCATTTAGGGGCTACAATCTTGAGAATGCTTCCAGTTATAAAAATCTCATGTCATATTGGCTTCACCAGTGAAGGGACCATATTGGCCCACATAACCACACATTCATGGATAATATGGGCTTTAGGTAGGGTTTGCTCGGGATGCTGGCACCAGTTCCCTATAGTTATTTTGTGCTATGATCGTTACTATGTTTCAGTTTCATCTTCAATCTGGGCTCCCTCAGAATAGTGAATAGCTATTGCTGTCCCAAAACTCACTTCTGTATGCCACACCTCCAGGGTGAAAGAGGACCTTTCTCCCCTTAACTGTAAAGTCAAATTGATTTTTCAATTTGAAAGGAAGCTTCACTCTGGTAGGACCCACTTTGATCATGTGCTCACCTTCAACCAATCACCACAGTTAGGGGAATGTCCTGATCTGATTGGTTTAAGCCTGGATTATGTACTCTTCATTGAGCCAATCACTGTGGCTAAGGGGGGGGAGGATTATATGGATTTGTTTATCTCAGTCAGCACCCACCACTTGACCACAGTGAAATTAATTCCACCAATAATACCACATGGCTCCTGTACTGTGGAAGACAATGAATACTGAGGAGGCCTAGAGCTGTGCATATACCAGGGGCACGGAATCTTGCCTCTCAGGTTGTTGAAACAAAAAGGTAGAATAAGACCTTGGCCATTTGTTCCAGGTCACAAAGCTTGTAGGGGACCTTTTACTCAGGCCTGGAAAGTGGGAAGGTGTGGTTCTGCCCTAGCCCAGCTAACACCACCTGAGGCACCTCAGGAAGTGGGCCTACAAAGTGGTAACTTACCAAAGTCAAGTGCACAGACAGCCCTTGAGCCAGGCTCACACCTGAGTCCTGGGCTCTGCCTTTAAGCCTGGTCATACTCATGGATGTGTCTCTGATGTTTGAGAAGTGGCCTCAAGGTCAGGGACACTTTGCTTTCCTGGGCCAGCTAACCATCCCTGTCCTCTCTCTCCTCTGTCGGTCGGTACAGCCTCCAAGTACAACAAGGTGGAGCAGTTGACCCTGCGGGAGCGGCTAGCCCGAATCAACACACATACCCTCTCCAAGAAGACAACCCGGCTAAGCCAGCTGCTGAAGCAGGAGGCCGGGCTCGTGACCAGGGTAAACATGGGTGGAAGGAATGGTCACACCCAGACATCCCAAGGGCAAGACTGTGTAGTGGGTGGGGCAGGGGGTTTAGAGTCCCTTAGAGGTGAGGAACAAGGGCCAAGGGAGTGAAGCGACTTCCCAGCATTGCAGACAGGAAAAGGCAGCACTGGCATGCCCCTCCTAGGTAAGGCCTCCCAAGGTAGGGCTTTCTTCCGCTACTTCTCATGCTTTTCTTTCTCTGGAGATGGGAAGGCCACGCTATGGGTGCAGGGAAGGAACCAGCCTTGAATAGCTACTTGGAGCTCAGGTTAACTGAGTACTTACTCTGAGCTGGCATTATGTGAGCCACCAGATGAAGTAGATGTCCTTATTCTCCATTTTGCCAGTGAAAAAGCAAAGCTCAGAGAGGGCAAAACACTCGCCCGAGGTTGCACAGTGAGAAGCAAGTCACCTGGGACTCCTATGTTCCTATCTCTGGTTCTGTGGTCCAAATACAAAACCACTAAGCTTCCAACAGTCCCACTTAGCTTTGGGGCAAGAAGAACTGGCTCTGTTGGCAGGTCTTTGGGAAGAGTCGTAGAGTGGAGGAGAGGGGAAAATTGGGACTTGGGTGCACATGGGGTGTACACTGCCCCCACATGGCTGTTCTTGGCCTTCACAAGCATGAACTTCACTTTCAGACTGAAGACAAGGAATTTGATGACTTGGAAGAGAAGTTCCACTGGGTGTCACTATGTGTGACAGAGCTGAAGAGCAACGTGGCTGTGTACCTGGATAACCTGCAGGTGAAGCTCCGCTGTTAACGGAGGGAAGGGTGTGAGTCTCTGGGCAGGAGGGAAGTGGGGTCCATCGGCCCGCCAGCAAAGGCAGAGTCTGCAGGGCCCTAAGGAAGGTCCTCCAGTCAGTGGCTGCAAGCCAGAGGGCCCACAGGCTGTTGGGAGCAGCTTCTGAGACCACTGATCTCTCTCAGGGGGGAGGTGCTCACTGGATGGGGTCAGAATTCCCTTCAGAGGGCCCCTACCAGCCAGCAGAGCTAGCAGGGGTGGCCAAGTTGGGTGCCTAAGTGGACTGGGAAGGTAATATCACCCAGTGAAATATGCAGGTGTGCAAGGCCTAAGTGCCGTAAGCTTACGAGCTACTCCAGTTGAGTTAAATGTATAATAATACTTAGAATTTGAACTACAGAACAAACGAACAAATGAATAAAATTTAAAGGGGCAGCTGTTCCTTGGCTCAGAGGCGTGGTTACCATGTAGAAATGGCACCCCATCCAGACAGTTCTTCTGGACTGAAGCAAAAAATATCTTGAAATTCGGACTTTTAGGTGAAATCTCACAATGAGACCATGTGAGCAACTAATTAAATCAACATTGAAATGTTATCCAGACCCAAGAAAAGGCATTTCTCCCAACTGAATTCAGCCCCCGGGAACACCAGCTTACGTTCCCATCCAGCTCATCACTTTCCCTGCGCCAGCCTCCCTCTGTTCTTGTCCTCAGCGCTGACTCATTCCTCCACTCTGTCCCTTTTATGTGGTTTTGTTCACAGTCCCATCTATTTGTGCACACCAGCTGGGTCAGACTATAACGGGCTGTTGGATAATGGCATTTGGGGTAGCGTTAGCGCAAGTGCGTGAAGGAGGGAGGTCTGGTTCAGACTCCTCTACAAGGCTGATTCCCCGCTGCTGCCTGCTCATCCTGCACCCCCCAGTGGGCAGACTGGAACAGCACAGGCCTCGGCTTGAGGAAGAATGTGGGTGCCAGAGGCGCAGCAGAGAAATGTGCGGCCTGGCAGAGTGGGAGGGCTGTTTGGGAGCACTCGGCTGTGTTTGTCTAGATTCAGGACTTACACTACAGGTATGGGGTCATGCCAAGAACGTGGCTTCCGCTTTTAACCCCCTGAGTCTAGGAAGAGACTCCTTGGTGTGCCTTTAACATGGGCCATTGAAGCCTTCAGCAGCCAGTGACATCTGGCTCATTAACAATGTTTTTATAGCAATGGTTTCTGATAGGCCTATTTTTAGTAGTCGTTGCTGTCTTTCCCTGTACGCTAGCATCACAGGGGTGTGTGTGTGTGTGTGTGTGTGTGTGTGTGTGTGTTTAATGAATTGATTTAAATAGAACCAGTTAGCGGATCGAAAGAAAAGTATTAACAGTACATATAGATATGGACCCAGCAAAAAAAAAAAAAAAAAGTCACAAAGGTAATTGCAGAGGTATGAGGTTCAAGAAGTGCCAGAATGGGGAGTTGGTGGCTCCATCTAAGGAAGAACCTTCTAATGACCCAAGTTGTGCAATGGTAGAATAGGCTGTGTCCGTCCCTGTCACAGGGGTGAGCAGACAGCCCGGACCTCTTTGGGGCATGGCAGAGGGGAATTCACGTACAGCATGGTCACCACAGGCCACAAGTATGTTTCTCATTTCCCCAAGCAGGCCTTCCTCCACTTCCGGCCGCAGGACTATGACCTGGACATCCTCGGGGGCCCTGCGGTGCCGTACTGCAGCCTGGCCGGGGACCTTCAGCAGCAGGCCTTCCCGGAGTTTGTGAGTGGAGCTTCTCTGTCCTCCTTTCCTTGTTAGGCAGGTGGTAGAGCCCGTAATAATATTTAGAAGTCAGGACTTCACACGACTGCCACATCTCTAACCGCCCTGGTAGTCAGCAGGACAGATTATTATTAGTGCGTTTTACTGATAAAAATAGCCCAGCGAACATTTTTGAGCTCACTATCTGCCAGGCGCTGTGCTAAGCCCTTTACATTCTTCACCTCATTTAATCCTTACAACACAGCTTACGGAGTAGGTCTATTCATAGCTCCATTCTGCAGAAGAGAGCAAGTGGCTCAGAGGGGTGACCTCCTGGGTAATTCCATGGTCAATGAAATGGCAAGCTGGGATCTGAACCCCAAAGTGCTTGCCACTGCTCTGGACAATATCTTTGTCAAACTCTGTGTACAGCAATTTTATGAAGAGGTAAGTATATGGAATACAGATTTTGTGCCAGGCTCTCTACTGAACTCACTACTTACATGGTCCCATTCTCCAGGTGGGCACATGGAGGCCCACAAAAGTCAGATAACACATGAGAGGTCACAGCTAGCTGGTGGGGGCAGATGAGAGCCCCAATCTACCTACCTCCAAAGTCCTTTTTCCAGTACCTTCCCTCTGCCACCTCCTCTGACTCCCACAGAAGCAACGTCTGGAAAGCCTGGTGTGGCAGCCACTGTGCAACTTGGCCAAAACTCTGGCTGGCCCCCAGAACCTGATCAAGAAGCGTCTGGACAAACTGCTGGACTATGAGCGGGTGGAAGAGAAGCTGTTGGAAGCAGGCAGCGTGACCTACGAGGAGGAGCAGGCCCGGCACACATACCAGGCATTGAACTCCCTGCTGGTGGCCGAGCTCCCGCAGTTTAACCAGCTGGTCATGCAGTGGCTGGGCCAAATCCTGCGCACGTTCGTGGCCCTGCAGAGGGACCTCGCAAAGCAAGCCCTGCAGAGGGCAGAGGGCAGCATGGCTCAGGTAAGGCCTCTGGACTGGGTGCCTCTGTGGGGGTGGGGGTCCAGGCAAGGCCTCACCGCCCTTCATTCAGCTATTGCCAGGGCTGGGAGGGAGTAAGGTTGAGCCACTTACAGGTTACAGGTACTTAGGAGGAGGCTGTGGTGACATTCTGGACCTCTCTGTTACCTGTTCTCCCTCCATGAATGGAGTCAGACCATGAAAGCAAGATCTGGGTCTGTGAGCCCTGGGACCCCAAAGTTGCTGGCTTAGAAATGATGCCCCAGTGAGCCAGGGCTCAGACTGCAAGTGAGTAGAAAGCTTTAGTTGGGGTTTTGGAAGATTGCAGTTTGGCAAGAGCTCCAACGTGGAGCTAAAATACAGAGCCAAAGTAGGCAGAGCTGCCTCCTACAGGGAAAATAGTAAAATTCTCTAGAAGGAGAAAACCCTTCAAATAGAAGGGATGCCTGCGTGTCAGTGCAGTGGCAGACTGTCTTCGAAGCTGGCGCTATTTCTCAGAACGCCCCAAATTCCAGGTGCCAAGATGCTTTCCGGGGGGTGACATGTGCGTAATTGTTCTCAGGGCCAGTTGGGAGGCATGCAGGTGCTGCAGCCCCAGTGGGCTCTTCGCTCAGTCTGGAAGGTCCCTGATCAGTTTGGGTCCCCTCATTTCTTGGTCACCTGTACCCTGGGGCATGGCAGCCCTTGGGGCCAGTGCATCAGGATCCGGTGACCAAGGCAGGTCCCTGCTGTGCAACCTCAAGCTGGCGTTGCTGGTGCTCCTGCTGCTTCCAGTGACCCTGCCGCATGGCACTTAACCGTTTACCTGTTTGGAGCGCCTGCCTCGTGCTACCTCCTTTAATCCTCACAACAACTCTCCAGAGGAGGTAATGTCATCATCCCTGGCTTCCAAAGGAGACCGAGGTCTGAGGGTAAGTGGCCCACCCAGGGCCACCAGCTGACAAGGATTTGCACCCTCCCGATGAGTCCCAGGGGCTGGGCTCCCATCACCGTGCTGGCAGCCCGCACAAGGCGCTGTCTGCTGGAAGCATAAATAGGTTGCAGAGAGGTGAGGATGAATCTCCAAGTGCAAACTTCAATTTGGGAATTTTGAAGACTGGGGCTGCTAGAGGAAAGACGCCAGAGAGCTCTCTCTGATGTCAGCTTAGGAGCTAAATGGTCGTTGGGGCCAGCCTTGGGAGCGCTCAGTACTCCTGCCCCGTGTTGTCTCATGCTCAGCTTTCCCTTCTTCCCTGTGCCATGAACATTCCTTTGAACTTTGCTCCCCACGCCCACCACCTTGGCAGCACCTGGTCCCTCTGGAGGCCTGTGGCCGCCTTCCCCTGGCACAGACTCCCCCCTAGACGTGAATGTCTCTCCCCCTGTCCTCTGTGTCTTACAGCTTGTGGCATGTGGTAGGATCTCCCCAAATATGGCAGATGGACGGGTCTCCGTGCCCCTGCCCTGATGGGAGTCCACCTGCAGCCTCTGGACTCCAGCTTGTGCTCGGCACCAGCACGCCTGCCTGCTGCCAAGTGATGGGTGGCCCTCCTCACTGAGGGAGGCTGGAGCTGCAGACATTTCTTCTCTTCGGCCCTTACAGCATTTAGTGCACTTACAGCTCAGACATTTTTTGAATTGAGTTAGGCCTGAGCCATCTGCAAGCTTTTCTCTTTCCTGAGGGCAGAAGGGTAAATCTGATTAGATGACCTCTTCCTTCTCCAACCCTTTTGTTTTTTCTGCAGCTCCAGGCCCCCCATTATGGAGGCTGGGATGTGCAGGACTGGGGAGTGTTACAAGATGCTAGCAGTAGGGAGGTCAAGCTGATAAAAGAAGAAAGCAAGGGCATTTCTTTGTTGGTGCTTTAGCATGGAATGTTAGGTGACCGTCGGCATATCTTGTCTGTGCCCACGGTCCAGTCACCTGCACCGCCTGTAGAGTGGGGGAGGGAGGGCGGCTCTAAGTCAGACCAAGAGCGTGCCTTTGGTGATAAGCAGAGAAGACGTGTCTCTGTTAGTTCTGGGGTTGTCTGGTGAGAACGTGGGTGGTGCCTTACAGGGCCAAGTTCTCAGGACAGGGCCCACTCCCCAGACTCAGCAAAAATAATGCTGCCAGGGCCCTCCCTGGTGGCACAACGGGTTAGGATGCAGCACTGCAATCTAGCCACAGCTGCTTCAGTGCCAGTTTGGTCCCTGGCCCTGGAGGTGACCCCCATGGCGCAGCAAACCTCTCCTGTCGCCCACTGCTTCCCTCAACAGTGTACTTCGTCAATCTGCCTGTTCTGCTTCCCACTCTGTCTCTGGTGAATCCTCTCACCGCCCCGTACCTCTGGCTTGTACCTCAGTTCTGTATGCATAAGTAAATAACTCTTTAAAAAAATAATAATAATGCTGCCAGGGCTCTGACTTCCCTGCCACCTCTGAGCTGTTTCCCTCTCTGGCAGGCTTTTCTGCACCTGGGATTGGGGGCTCCCAGCAGCTGCAAGCAGATAACTCTGCATCTCAGCTCCAAGGAAGGGCGGCCTTTCAATTCTCAGCTTTCATGTCTGCTGGGAGGATTCTGGGTGACTCTGCTTGGCCCGTTGTGCTGGGACCATGACTGCAGATAGAAGGGAGGGGCTCTGTGACCGTGGTCCTGAGCTTAGCCTGAGCCCCAAGCTGGGCCATGCTACTGGACCCATCAAGAGACACTCTCGTTAAGGAAAGCAGGCACAGGCACAGTAGCAGCAGAAACCACAGCTGACTGAGACACACAGGCCTGTGGTCATGCATCAGGGCCTAGAGTGTGGGCTGCCCGGGTCACTCCATCGACTGTCACCTGAAAAGGGCTCTGATGCCCTGTCTGTCCCCATCTAGCTGCCCCACCACCAAGTCCCTGAGCCAGCCTTTAGGAAACTGCTGGAGGAAACACTAGGCCAGACCAGTAACCAGCTTCGTTCCTTTCAAGAGAACTTCGAGAAAGTGCTGCCGCCTCCCACCCTACAAGTAAGTGCCGTCCCTCCTTCCTCTGGAGACTGTCCAGGGTGGGGACTCTCTGTCAGTGGGATGAGCTCGCCCTTGTTTGCCCTTGTTTTCCTGTTACCCCTGGGATACTTTCCCTCTCCCTCCCCCTTCCCTTTCTGAGCTGGGGTGCGGTCAGGTAGGGGACACACCCACATACTTGCCTGCTCTTTATGGTCTGTACATATAAAAGCAGAACAGAAGTTTTGGGTCCAGAGTAAGAAACCCTAACATTCCCATAGACAGTGAAATTCATGTCATATTGGGAAATTGGCATTAATATCAGAAACCTGGAACTTCAAGTTTTTCACCAGCATCTCTTCTTGTTAAAGCACAATCTTGGCAGCAGGCTGCATCAAGCCCCAGTATTCAAGATGAATGAAAAGGCATCTAAAATTTTGTTTTGCAATGGAATTTTAAAATGCAAAAGACAGTACTCTAGCTGCATTATGGTTTACCATGCTTTGGCCAAAGGCAGTGTGAGCGTGTGTTTGTGCAGTATTTTTCTCTACACTGTAAGGAGGGGGTATCCTGCAGCCCACATGGAGAGTCTCCCCAGGCAGGATGTGTTCTCAGAGGAGGGTCTAGGGAGAAGGGACCCCTAGAGAGGATGGAACCTGGGTTTGATGAGACTGGAAACTGTTTTTTCACCTGAAACATGTGACATGGGGGTCAGGAGCCCCAGATCCTTCAGGAGGGAAAGGGCCCAGCACCCAACAGAGGAATGAAAGCTGCAGGCTGCAGACAAGGTGACCTTCCCACCTGGCCGAGTAGCAAGGACCAGCAGAGATATATGTCTGCCCCAAGGGGACTGTCCCCACCACCTGCCCAGTGCTGAGACTGCTCAGCAGACATACCCCGGGGCTGGGGTGTGGGCCCTGCCACTTGGGGTGCAGAAAATGAAGAACAAAGCAGCCACCCCAGTGGCTGGTTTTCTACTTAAAATCAGGCAACATCTTTCTTATTAGAAAAGCAACCCGGCCCTCCCTGGTGGCGCAGCGGGTTAAAGCACAGCACTGAGAAGCTAAAGCTACTTCCGCATGAGTTCGATCCCCGCGTACTCAGGAGTAGATCCACATGGCGTGGCAGACCTCTCCTGACCCGCCTGCTGCTCCCCTCACCAATGTACTTCCTCGATCTGCCTGTTCTGCTCCCCACTCTGTCTCTGGTGAATGACTTCACTGCCCCTGTACCTCTGGCCTGTACCCCAGTTCTGTATGGATAAATAAATAAATCTTAAAAAAAAAGAAAAGCAACCCATACTGATTATAGAAAAATGAGAAGACAAAGAAAAACAAAAAGAAGAACTGGAGGGAAACATCACACCCCCAGGGTGTGCTGCTAACAGGGAGGAAGGGATCCTTCCTCTCCACACCCCCACACATCTTCCCTGTGAATTCCTGCCCTGTTTGGCTGAGGGACCCAGGTACAGAAGTGAGGGCTCAGAACAGGAGCAGGCTTAGTGATGGCTCACAGGCCCGCCTCTCCCCTGAACTCTTCTCACAGGGTGGGGCCTGCTGGCCGTGGGGAGACAGAAGAGGGGGCCACATCTCTGGCTCTGACGCGTGTTGGCATCACCCTTCCTCGTCTACCTTGTCTCTACATGTCTGTTTAAGGGCCTGGGAAATATCAGACTCTTCTGGCTCTTGATTCTGATCCAGTGAACCCATTAGGGTGGGGGGGTCAGCAGGGCCCCTGCACAAATGTCCCTGGAGGGCTCCTGTGGCACTTCCCTGCTCCCAGCACCTTCCCACCCAGAAAGGACCCTGTAGAATATGCTGAAGACAGATAGTTGCATAGCTAGAAAGGTAGGTGGGTAGGTAAGTAGGCAGAAAGAATATAGAGTGAATCGATATTTAGCATTCTCAGTTTCTTCTTGGTTTTATAAAGAGGAGACATTCACCTCTGGGTTCCTTCTTTGTTGATATTTTTGCTGGAAGAGTGAGTGGAAAAACAAAGGCAGCACCCGGAAGGTTTTGGAGAGCTGAAAGTGCCGCCAGGTCATTCTCTCTGGCTAAATGACACCAGGGCAAAACTGTCTCCTGTGCTCCTGCCACTCCACAGACGAGTCTGGCTGAGCCTTGTGATTAGTGGGCGCTCAGTCAGTACCTGTGGGCTGAGGATGCCTGGTGGGAGCATGGCCCGCGCGTGCCGGCCCCTGTAGGCAGCTGATGGCGCCGGCAGGGAGGTCGGTGTCCATGTGAGGCTCGTGCTAGAGCATGAGCGGCCTATGCCAGGCACTTTCCTGTGGGGTAGCTTAGCTTGACATTATGAGCAGAATTTAGGGCCTGGCTGCAGGGATCTGTAACTGCAGTGTTTCAGAAGCTGAATTAGAATTTTAGAGCATCTCAATAGCTCAGACCTGGGAGGAGTTTCAGAAGCTCACCTAGAGTTTTCTTCTGAGGTGACTTTGGGCTCTTAGAAATGTGTCTTTCATCGGGTACAGCTGTCTTTTGGGAGGGATTCGTGCAGCCGCAATCAAGGTGGGGCTGGCTCTCTTGCGAACTCCAACCTCTGTGTCTCTGCTCCCCTAGCCTCTCCTGCCTGGAGCTGAGCGCCAGGTTCAGGCTCTCCTGAGCAGGTATGGCCCCGAGAAGCTGTACCAGGTGACAAGCAACATCAGCAGCACTGGGACCATGGACCTGTCACTGCTGCGGGGACAAATCGTGGCCCTTCTTCAAAACAAGGACACCAAAGGCAACAGCAGCCGCTGGCTGGTGGACACAGGGAGTATGTGCACTCTGAGGGCCTTACCCCTCCTCCCTGTGGAGACAGCCCCCAGAAGCCCATGGGCAGTCCTGGGCACTGGTGTGGGCTGGTTTGATGGCGCCAAAGCAGGGTGGGCGTGAACACAGGTGAAGACGCAGGCCTTGCGTGGTGCATTCACGCCAAAGGGTAGTTCAGGCTTTTACTGTAACATTCATATCAAGTGCCTACTGTGGCCAGGTCTATGCAGGAGAGACCAGGACCCTGCCTCCTAACCCTCACAGACCATTGGGGTCAGCAGAGAGAGAGGGAGAAAATTTCAGCTTCACCCTGGAAGCTGGAGATGCTTGAATCTCGGCCTTGTGGATAGACCTCTCATTTACAGTGAGGGAAGTGATTCATCCTCCTCCCCCCACCCCCGTGCTGGTCATACCCTTTGGGGGAGCTTCTGAGTTCTGGGTGCGTCATTATAATGAGGCAGGAGGCAAATGGCCTCACAGATCCTGGAGAAGGTAACCCTGTAAATTATATTACAAAGAGGGGCATGTGACCCACAAACTGAGGTAACACGGGGCTATTGGGAAGCGATCTAGGGCCAGATCCTCTCCCCTGATGGTTTAGTAAATTGTCATTTTAGTATCCTGATGTGTTAGAAGAAACACATAACTAGTACATAGCCCTTGATTTTATTCATATTACTACATACTGCAAAAACTAGTTTTTAATTTTATTTATTTTAAAGATTTATATTATTTATGCATACAAGAACTAGGGTACAGGCCAGTTCTTGTGGAACTGTGGGTGGGGGTGAGAGGATTCATCAGAGACAGAGTGGGGAGCAGAACAGGCAGTTATACTGAAATGCACTGCTGAGGGGAGCAGCAAGAGAGACAGGAGAGGTCTGCTGTGCCATGTGGGTCCCCTCCCTGGCCGGGGATTGAACTTGTGCCTCAGTTGCTGCAGACAGCCTCTCAGTGCTGCTCTTTAACCTGTCATATCACCAGGGAGGGCTCAAGACTAATTTTTTTTTAAAGATTTATTTATTTATTCATACAGAACTGGGGTACAGGCCAGAGATGCGGAGGGCGAGAGGATCCACCAGAGACAGAGAGGGGTGCAGAACAGGCAGGTCAATGAAGTACACTGCTGAGGGGAGCAGCAGGCGGGTCAGGAGAGGTCTGCCACGCCATGTGGATCTCCTCCAGGGCAAGCGGGGATTGAACTCATGCGGAAGTGGCTTAAGCTTCTTTGTCCTGTGCTTTTAACCCGCTGCGCCACCAGGGAGGGCCAGCCAAGACTAATTTTTTAAAAGTGAGTTGATTAACAAATTAAGAAAATGGCACAAGTCACACAGATAATTGCAAAATGTCAGCTTTATGACTTCATGTTGGAGTTTGGGGATTAAAGCTAGACCCCTGGAGCCAAAGGACTGGGTCAGAACCCCAACTTTGCCACCTTACTAACCCCATCACCACGGAGAAGCCACACAGCCTCTCTGAGCTCGGCTGGCTCGGCCCTCAAATGGACACAAAGACAGTGACCCCCCCGAGCTGATATGAAGCCTAGAAAATCAAGTCTCAGTGCTGTGCCTGGCAAACTCTCAGGAGTGAGGCCGTTCATAAAGCGAGTCGCCGGAAGAGCACTGGCAGTCATCACTGCTTAGGGAGGAACCGGGTACGGTGGGCTAGAGAAGAGCCATGTGGGAGAAGCAACGTGGCTCTGGGCCGCCACTGGAGCAGGGAGGGCTGTGTGCCAGCACCAGGAAAGAAGTTTGCATGCAGCCCCAAGGAAGCTGTTCTTAACTCTGCCAGATCCAAATGGAGCAGTAGGGAGTGAGCCTCCTGTCATGGAGAGCATGCAAGCTGAGACTAGAAACGGTGAGCGAGGGGGTGGCTCGTGAGGTTCTGAGATGACCTTTTCAGGCCCTTTTTCATGCTGAGAAGCTGTGCTGGGACATTCACACCTGTGTACTTCCTCCACCATCAGAAGGGGTGGGGGCTCTCCTGGGTTCTGCAATGGGTTAAAGCTTTACACTGAAGCTCTCAGATGCCTCTGCAGCATGAGTTCAATCCCCAGCCAGGGAGCTGACCCACATGGCGTGGCAGACCTCTCCTGACCCACCCGCTGCTCCCCTCAGCAGTGTATCTCAGTACATCCACCTGTTCTGCTCCCCACTCTGTCTCTGGTGAATCCTCTCACCCACCACACCTCTGGCCTGTACCCCAGTTCTGGAAGCATAAATAAATAAATCTTTAAAAAGGCGGTGGGGAAGGTCACGCAGAGTCACATAATGTTCTGCTTGCCTTGCAGGACATCGAGGGTACGTGCCTGCTAGGAAGCTGGAACCGTACCATGTTGTCACCTGGGAAGAGCAGCCCAGCGGGCGGGTGGGGTCTCATGACAACTCCCCCCAATGTTTGATGCCAGAGCCTGCTCCCGCCCCCGTCTCCTCTGTCCCAGCCGTGACCCAGGTGAGCTGGGAAGGGTGGAGGGGTTGCTTCCCCATGCACCAGGGTGTTAATTTTCCTCCTGTCTGGAGCAACCACATAGTGATGCTGGGGCCTCGGTGAGGGGCTCACATCAGGTTTGTGGCAGGGTTGGGACCCAGAGAAACAAGTTTCCCACCCTGCCACAGTGACCAAAAAATAGTCCCCATCAGCAGGGCAAGTGGGATTCATTCATTCACTCATTCATTCATCTCATATTTGCCAGACACTGCACTAGATGAGAGAGAGAATGAGCAAAAGTCAGTCCTCATGTTTATCATCATGGGAGACAACAATAAAATAATCACATGAATAAAATTAAAGCAGTGATAATTGCTAGAACCTTAGGTGTGAAGAAGTTCAGGCATTGTTTTCTAGAAGAATGATACTTTTTCTCAGCTATGCAGGGTGAGTAGGAATTTATTGGGTAAAGAAGTGTGTTGGCATGCAACAGCAAAAGCTCCCAGAAAGCTCATGTGAAGGCCAGGGCCAATGACAGGGAACGCAAAGGCTTATGAGGCTACTGATGAAGCCAGTGTGGCTAGGGAAGACGGAGGAGCATCGTGGGAGGGGAGCTGGAGAGGTGAGTGGGGCCAGATCAGCAGACCTTGATGAGGGTAACAGCTGTTCTCAACATGTACATGACAACTCCCCCCGATGTTTGACAGTGCTTAACATGTACATGCATAGACATGACACTGCTCATAGGACCCTGAAGTGGAAACAGCTCAAGTGTCCACCAGCTGCTGAACATGTACACAGATGTGATCTAGCCAGTGTGAGTACTATTCAGCCATGAAAAAGAACCAGGCGCTACTATATGCTCATGTGTAGTGAGACTCAAAGGCCACATTTCCTGTGGTTCTCTTTGTGTGAGATGCCAAAATAGACAAATGTATAGTTACCAGGCACTGGAGGGGAGGAAATGGGGGTAGCTGCTAACTGGCTTGAGCTTCTTTCAGGGGTGATAAAGATGCTCTGGAAATAGGTAGCGGTAGCTGGTGCACAACTTTATGAACACTTTAAAAAATGTCTGAATTGTAATTTGAGAGGGCGATTGTGAAGGGGTATCATCTGTATCTCAAACAGAAAGGTGGTGAGTGAGGGGAGTGGGCTCACTTGTGAGGTATTTCAAAGTGGGAGGGCAAGGAAGGGGTTGGCTTTGCAGGGTCTGAGTCCTAGGGCTGGGGAGCGACTCAGTGATGATTGTGAAGATTGGAGGAGCTAGTGTAAAGCCAGACCTTGCTGACTGTGAGCCTCAGTACATAGAGGCTGCCCTCACACCGACATCAGCGTAACGGGGGAGCAACACAGGTGGTCGGTGTGTGTCAGCCCCCAGACAGGGCTAGGACAGGTTTTCAGGAGAGAGCAAGGAAGCCTCTGGCCAGAACAGCAGCAGGGCTTGAATGGGTGGTGGAGGGCCACAGAGATGCCTGTGTGTGCTGTGAGTATGACTTGGGGCGTCCCACCAACCCCCCGCCACCATGCACACACCTGGAAGGCTCACAGCCCAGTCCCAGGGGCATTAGCCAGAAGGGAGTGCACCAGGCTGCCACCTTTGGACATCCCACCCCTCAGCAAAGGACCCCCTGATGGACCAACTGCTGCCCCCCCCCCCAGCTCCTCTGGGGAAGGCGATGCAGTTACTGCTGCTACACTTGCAGCCATCATGGACAGTGTTTCTAGGAACCCATCAGGGCCTCAGGGGCTCACATGGGGAGCTCTCAGCTGTCCATCTGTCTGGACACTTGAGCTGATGCTTCTTTGTGGGGCTGCTCAGGGGGACTCCTGGAGAGACCTCACCCGCCCCCCACTCCTGATTATTCCTTATTGCAGTAATAACAGCCCCAAATTACTAAGGCAGCCAGAATATATGGAGCCCTTACTGTATAGCAGTCCTTCCTTTATTCACCCGGAGATGTTGTCATTACTTCCATTTTGCAGATAAGAAAATTGAGGCCCAGGGAGGTGAATAATATCAGCCTAATAAAAACCCTCCCTGTTGGAGACCCTTTGTTCCCTGATCATTATCGGGGGGCAGAACAGGCAGGGTCTCAGGGTGGGAGCAGCTTCGGCGAGTGGAGATACCTAAAAAAGGGGGAAAGGAGAAAAAAGAGAAAGGGGAGCGAGGAAGACACAGGAATCGGAGTTGGGTGCAAGTCTTCTTGTTCTGCCTTCAGCAAACGTTTATTTTATACATTAGGAGCAAGCAGTGGGATGACATCAGCACAAGAACTGGGCTGAGAGATTACAATCATCTTTTTTTCTAAGAACAATTTAGGGTCGTATTGCCCTTTAGCTGAGATATAACATTCATTATTCTTAAAATCAATCTATTAAAGTTAAGATAGGTACATAAATTCATAAAATTTAAGGCTAACATTGTTATATTTACTACAGTGTTGATTGGCTAAAATAAAGTCTCTTTAAACCTTAAATGCTATTTAATAATCTTCATTCTCATTGAGACCTCTTAGAGGTTAAAGTAAAGTTAAGGACTAGGGTGGAGGCTGGGCTGGAGATGTGAAGGGGGATAAGGTGAGGTCGCGGGCCACGGTGAAGTTGTGAAAGAGGGTAAAGTAAGGTCGAAGACTATGCTGGAGTTTTCTGGTAGATAAATCACTAAGGGAGATAAGATTCCTCATTTAAAGACTGAGCAATAAAAGCTTAAGTAAGAGAGTAGAGTGTTAAGATTTGGCTTCTGTTCCGGGCAGTAAAAGAACTTTAATTATTTTTTAGCATGTTCTAGTACTAACTTGTCTTACAATATTGATTGTGTTATAATTGTTTTTATTAATCAGCCAGTTGTAATATTTTTTGCTTTCTAGAGGAATTTCCTGTCTTGGGCAGTGCTTGCTCTCCTGAGCCAGGCAGCGCCTTAAGAGGCTAAGGCAATCTGGTGTAAGCTGATGGTTGCTTAGAATATTTTGATATTACAAAAAAGTTAGCATGGAAATTCTAATTTTTCAGAGCACTTCCGTCTCTATCCGGAATATGTCAGTCGATAGAGATTGCATAGATTGTGTCACCTCCCCTCCAATATTTTCTGTAGTGCAATGCCTTGCCCTAAAAAGAAACTAAGTTGCTCACCCCTGTCTCCAGGTTGAGAAACTGGAGATAATGTAGATGGGGAAGGCACTGAGTCCTGTCCCTGGAGAGAACGCGGACTGGGCTGGGAACACCTGTTCTGGTTAGACAGGCCCAGCTTCACAGCCGGGTAATTTTCAGTCACTTCCTGGATTTCTCTGGATTTTAATTGCCTTATCCAAAAAACGGGGCAAGCGGAATGATAGACATAAACCCAGCAAAGTGCTAGAACAGCCTGCCACTTTTGTGAGTGTGAGGACTGTGGAAGTAGTTGAGGCCCACAAGCGATGGACTTGGGAGGCGCTGACTGCTCTGCAGTGGGGCGCAGGCAGGTGAGCGGCTTCTCTGGGTTGGCTCTGTCTGTGCCCCCTGACCCTTTCTGTGTCACTCCCGTGTGTTTCAGGTGGTGGCGGCTTATCCCTTTTTGGCCAGAAGCAGCCACGAAGTGAGTCTACGGGCAGGCCAGCCGGTGCTGGTCCTGGAGGCCCAGGACAAGAAGGGGAACCCCGAATGGAGCCTTGTGGAAGTGAACGGACAGAGGGGATACGTGCCTTCCGGCTTCTTGGCCAGGGCCCCGAGTCAGGCTCCCTGGGGCTGGAGCCTGCCTTCTTAGGGTGTCTCCCTGGGAGCCTGTGTTGCCAAGGAGTGGGAGGGCTGAGAGACTGTGACCTGGCAGGGCTGCAAGGGGAGATCAGGTCAGGTTGGGTGAAGAGCCGCCAGAAGGCAGCCAGGGAGGTGGGTGGGCCCTGCGGCAGGCCTGGCGTGGGTGGTCACGAGAGGCTTCTGGAGACCGCTCTGTGTCTGCAGAGGGAGGGTCTTCTAGCCTGGGGGCGTGGCAGCCTGCAGCAGGTGTAGCTACTGGCCAGGACTCGCTGCAGCCCCCACCCGGGGCTTCCCTGGGAGTGCGTCACCCCAGTGATTGTTCCCTGTGTGTTGTATGGTTGCGGGGGCAGGATACTGGAGACGTCTGTCTTCAACTGCCTCTGTGGGGCAATTCACTTCCTACCTATGGTACCGAGAGACACCGTGGTTGACCAGTCATTTTTTATTTCTCCCTCCCTGCTGGGAGCTGGGTTATCTCAGGCAGTGAGCCTCTGGGAATGCACTCCAGTGGGGGAGTGAGGGCTTGTCTGGGCAGTGGTGAGGTTCCCAGGAGACTCTTAGCTGGGTCTGGGAGTGGGTGTGAGGCTGTCACAGTTCTAGAATGTGTGTGGGCATATCCAGAGGCTGTTTCAGGAAAGGGGATTTTGAGGGTGTTAGCTGGAGTGTGTGGAGCTGTTGACAGTGATTGTATACCGTTGCTGGGTTTGCCCCACTAGGGGACAAAAGACACACAAATCACAGAGGAGCCACTGAAGCGGGTCATTAAAATCCTGGTGGGTGGAGGAGCTTAAGTAATGGCTGGGCTTCTTGTTTCTGGATGGAGAGCCAGGAGAACCCTCCCTGTACCTCCTCCCCCAACCCCAGGTTTCGGGAGGCCACCTAGGGCCTTTAGGCCACAGTAGACATGACATCAATAGGCTGTGGGACATCAGATGAGACCCTAACCTTGGATTCCCGTCCATAAAGCCCCAATCACAGGGATGCGGCAAGAATGACATGACGCCGATGATGCGGAGGCTGCCACATCGCGAAGTTCAGTCAAGCTACAAATTGCCCCTGGTGACAGGATGTGCTGGGCATGGTCTCAACCCCAAGTCACCTGCTGGTCCCGGCAAGCAAATGGCAGCAGCATGCCACCACGGCCCACCCAGCCCCCAGCACGCTATAATCAATGTGGTGGCCCTTTCCATGCACCCAGCCTCTGCCTCAGGAGACTTCTGATTCCACATTCAGGTAGCCCATCTCTTGAGTTCAGTGAGATCAAACCTTGTCATCTTTTTCTAGAAGCAGGAAATGAAATCTCTCAAAAAGTTCATGTTCAAAGAAGAACAACTGATGGAGACAGATCTGGGTACAACATGGTTGGCCCGTCACCTTTGGGTTTCCACTTTGGGCTGAGGGGTAAATTGTAAGGCCTTTCATGCAAATTAAAATCCAGTGTAACCTTTAGTGGCAATTACCAATCTTGGAACCAGTCCAAGCTAGAGTGTATATGAAAACAGGTGGCAGTTTAGATTTATTTTTAAGAACATCTCCACTATTATAACTGGCACTCTGACTTTTAAGAAATGCAAGTGTGCGTCAAGACAGCCTGTAAATTTACCTCCTGAGAGCAGTGTGGACACTGCCCAGTGCCAGAGGAACTCTGCCCACCTCTCCTTCCCAGCCCAAATTCACTTCATAAGATGCTCTCGACTAATTTCCCTTTCTTTTCCCTGCTCAGATTTTCGGATACAAACTGGAAGCCCAAGGCAGCAGAAAATAAACATGCTGAGGGCATGCTGTATGCTGAAGCTTTGCCTCTGGGCTTTTCCCCTGGGCAGCTTGCAGCTGAGGCCAGGATCCCACTGAGAGGTTCTGATGCATTTGGTCAGGCTGTGGCCTGGGCCTCAGAACTTGGAAGGCTTCCCAGGTACCCTGACAGTAGGCAGGGTTGTTACCTCTGCCCTAGACTTGCAGTGCTGGACAAGATGGCCCCGGGGTCAGAAGTAGCCATGTGCTGTAAGCGAAGCTGTGCCTCCTCGGAGCTGCATTCAAGGTGGTCTGAAATAGGACAGCCTGTTCTGTCAGCTCCCAGAATGTATATTTATTAAGTGCCATTAAAAGGGACCTAAGCAAAATGGAATGTTCTGGTTGGCATAAGGGAGAGAACTGGAATACACTGGAACTGATACACTCGGTTCTCATATACTTGGAACCAAATCTATCTCGAAAGGGAAAATGAGAACGTGTTCAGTAACACAAGGTTTCTGGTTTCTTGTGAACCGGAGAGTGAGATAAACATCAATGAAGTTTGAGAAAATGTATATGAAGATGGAGAATGGCCTGGATTTTCTCCAGGGGACTCTGTAATGTGCCTTTTCCTCCCAGCCCCCAAATCCTAGAACCAACGCACTGTGTCTTATTTCTTTCCTT